CCCCCCCCCCCCCGACCGTCCCCCCTAAAACCCACCAATTCTAAACGTACTGAATCTGTTTAAAATAAGCATATAAGTAACTAGTTCTCTGCATATATATTCCACTCCTGGCAGTCATTCATATTTTTGAGATCAGTAAGATGACCACCCATGAATGACGAAGCATCTATTACAGCCATTGCACCCACAAACTTTGATCAACTTTTGAATCTACTTGCTGCCTGTCTCCTGGGTGCCGAGTGGAATTAGTACACTCACCCTCACAGGGCTGCAAATTACTGTCGGACATCGGACAATGTCCGACTAAATTTGGCAAATGTCCGAGCAAAAGTAATTTTGATCGGACATTGGTCTGATCACAAAAAAAATTGTCACATCATACATTTTCTTGCTGTCACAAAATGCGATTGCAAATTCACTCAATTTGCATTTTGCAATAATATTTATGAGGCATTCTAGCATTTAACTTAACATTGCATCGTAATGGCTATACATACTTTTCTCGTGACTTATATATATCTTGCGACGTATACTGTATATGTCTGACCAAATTTAGTGGTGTTGGTTTTTGTCCGACCAAATTCAAGTTATGTCCGACCAAAATTAAAAGTGATCGGACAAATGTCCTGTCAAGTCAAATATTTATTTGCAGCCCTGTCCTCAGAGGCTATCACTCCGAGGCTCGGGGATTATGTATCAACTAACATATATTTCCCCTATTCTTGGGTTTCATATGACGTCACAGAAGTGAGGGGGGTAATTCAACTCTAAAACAAAACACAGTTATCAGAGTGAGTCGATTGTTCGTTTTATGTATTTGCCTTGTGTTTGGTGGCAAATATTTCGTATAATTTTCTCACTCCAGTGCAGCATAAACATCGACACATTTGAGGTTGACCCCCCCCGTCAGATTCACCACATAATGCCCTAGTGAAACCCAAGAATATGCTCTACTCTGAAGTGAGTATTCGACAGTAAAATAAATTATATTGTTTGTATCTGGTGATGAAATGATGATGTAATTTGCGCCTGATAAGCAAGTATGGTGAATGGTATGCCTGCCGTTCTTTTGGCCAGCTTGTCTTGGTGATGACATTTACACTACTGATCTCCCAGAGTACAATAAACGTTTATAAATGCAGGCTACAATATATAGAGTTAGCAGTGTTCATTTTCAGATTTATGATTATGGTATTTCAATCAAATTTATTGCAACAAACACATGCCAAAAAATAGAAACACGACTGATATAGTGAGGTGAGAAAAATGAACTTAGTCCTAAAGTACAAAGCTTCTTCACGATCATGAATTATTGATTTATTAAATTGAAACTACACTTACAGAGTATCGATGCTGTGACTCAACAGAAAACCGTCCTAAAATTACTTGACGATGAATCGGCGCCCAACACCGTGGACTCTCTCTGGTTACCCAACACGCCCCCCTACCCCAAATCTCGAAGCACCCCAAAGGAGATGACCCCCGCAACCCCCGAGTCTTGCATGAAAGAAACGGACGGGCTGATCAAAAGGAAGAAATTACCTTCCTCAAAGAAACAGCATCGCGTGCAGAAAGGAGAAAAACTCCAAAAGAAGGTTCTGAAAAAGGCTTTAGGCGAGCAGGCAGCACGCTCACCCCTTGCCGAGAGAAATTGCGCCAAAGACGTAAAGCAAAGCAATGGAAAGGCAAAGTCAACAGCGTTTGTAAAATATCGAAAATATAATAGTCTTGACGAGTCGTTCAACGACAGTTTCACTGGGAAAGAGAACGAACATGTTGTATGGTAGATTGCATGCAGTAAAGAAGCCGTTGAGATTTAATTAATTTATATATATATATATATATATATATATATATATATATATATATATATATATATATATATATATATATATATATATATATATATATATATATATATATATATATATATATATATATATATATATATATATATACATATATATATATATATATACATATAACTGAAATAGATAACTGAAAATTGATTGAACACACTTAATGATAAGCCTTTCTCACTCAATTCTCACTATAAGGCCAAAATCTGCCATTTTTGAGGCACTGCCTGCGTTCGTGAAAGATTTTAGACAATTCAAACAAGGTGAAAAGCGACTTTTAAAAGTAAATTTACCATCATACAACAACTATATAATACTAAAAAATTGTATTTCTATATTTCCTGGTGCGGAGACTCTCAAACGTGGGAGAGGCAGTAGCCCCAAAATGGCGGAAAAATCGGTCGTGAGCAGGGCGCTTTAATATATACTATATATAAGCGCCCTGCTCGTGAGAAAGGCTAATTTGCCTTCGATCGTGCTAGATGAAAGCACGCGCGCATGTGCATATGTAACCGAAAACTATTATAACATTTGCCGATATTATGAGAAAATATATATTAATGTGCAAAGAATTTGGAAGTTTTGGACTTGTGATCTCAGATAAACTGAGCTAATTTTGTATTGTATATATAGTAGGTATTAGACATATATTAACACAAACATGTATAATATCAGTAATAGAAAATATATAGACTTGACATATTATATTATAAAATGTGTGTTGTCTGAATGTCTGTTGATATTTTAAAATTGCCATGGTGATGCGTTCCTAATAAATTGCATGCAGTTTGAACATTTTTTTAATTAGTTGTTTTCTTAAAATTTTGGAGGCTTAATCTGAACGTATAAAATAACATTAAAAATGGGTGAATTTTCTTCTCTTTTATTAAAATGACTTACCAGCATGTAATGTACATGACATATAGCCTATACCTTTGCCTACACCTATTATATACATAAAAAAAATGGTTCTTTTATGCGCGCGCGTTTTTATACTATAACTCTCCTGACGAAGTTATGGGGCGTTTGCTGAACTGGGTCGAGAACGTTGTATTTTTATCGTAGTTCGATTGACTGGCTGACGTGTTCAAGCATATACTTCAGGAGCCTCTGTTCAGGAGCCTAACCTCGGGCTTCGAAGTTTACGTTGATGACCTTGGTATCATGCGTCAGCCTTGCGTGCAAGGTCAGTCATAAGAAATTGCAAAACGCCGATGCTGTTATAACGAACAATTAACTTTCATATTTACAATCAATTACAATCATATTTACAGGAAATCTGCTGATAAAACACGGCTAGGCCCACACGTCTGTTGCAACTAATTAGAGAAAATTATACTCTCTTTGTTTGGCTTCATCCTTATTAATTGCGCACTTAGCAAATAACTTTCTCTCTCAAAAAAATTGTGTGCGAATTAAAGGGAGTGGGTAAACATGCCTAAAACCCGTCGCGCAGGATATAAATTGCCAGCGAGTTTGGAAATAGAATTTTACTCTAAGACTATACACATTGGCATTGCATGCAATCTCGTTCCCCGAGCCTGCGATCCTCGGGAAGGAACGCGAGGCTCTGGGATAATCCGTTTCATGGAGAAATCTGATTGGCCGTTGAAATGGAACAGCCGCTCCTTGCGTTATCAACAATATAGTGTTGTAATTATCAACCGTTATTAGCAATAAGTTATTGGGTTGTAACCCTAACTCTAACCTCCACCCCTCTAACCCCTAACCCTAAAGTAAAGTTGCTGAATTCCTGGCTTCCGGCAACGGATTATCCCAGAGCCTCGCGTTCCTTCCCGAGGATCGCAGGCTCGGGGAACGAGATTGCATTGCATGCATTGACATTGTAAAACGATAGAGACAGGGTTAAAAACTTTAACACAGCTACAACACACGATCAATGCGTTCCAATTAAACCATCCTTATACACTTTCCAAAGTTAATATAAACTAGACATGGACCGCCCATATATTGCAGTCTTTTCTACAGTACGCCGTGTTGTTCGAACTGCCGCGTTATTTACATCAATAGACAGATCGCGGACGTCAAAGAAGTGATTCTGTTTTCAGCCGTTGTCGGCTGCGCAACTGCGACCCTGTAAGAACCACTTCATTACTTTAACGTACGCATGAAGTAGTCGAACCTTTCCGTAGCGAACATTTCTCTATATATATTAATTACGGGCAATTTCTATAATTACAATCACACCAGCGTATAGTTTCCTCCGCAGGCTACTGCGTGCAGTACCCTGGATTCCAGAGCCTTCAGTAAATAATAAATTGAAACGTCGTGAAGGCTCTGGTTCAACGGGAGGATTCTTTGATTAAACCTCTACTAAAACCACTAATTCTGTTTTGTGATTGGCGCGGTTTAATCAAAGAATCCTCCCGTTGAACCAGAGCCTTCACGACGTTTCAATTTATTATTTACTGAAGGCTCTAGAATCCAGGGTAACTGTGCAGTTCTGCAATGTAAAATTATGACTCATGTCAATAACTGTAAAAGATTTATCAGGAACGTACATGAAATACAAGGAAATAGTCCGAAATACGTTGTGATATGATATGATAATGAACAAGAAGCGTAAATTAAAAAGGCCTTGGGGTGGGGCGAGATAAACAACAATTACTTGAAGATAAACAACAATTACTTGAAGTTATTCTATTTAATCACCTAAATGACTATATTGACTGTTCAAAATTGAACAATTTGCTAATTTTCTAGCGCAAATAAATTAATTTGACTAGATGAGCGGATAAATACAGCACGATTTCTAATCAGGCTTCACAAAAGTTTTAACTCTGGAGACTGTTTGAAGAAGAGTTTCTGGAAAAGTTCGACGCTGAAAAGTCACTTAACTATTGGTAAGTAAGGCAATCTCTATGCTTACTGCCTATAGTGACACCCATATTAGGTTTAGCTACAATAAATGACAATGGTTTTACTAACCCTACCCCAAACACTAACCCTACTCCAAGTTTGTTTCCCAACCAATCTTGAAGAAAAACGTTTTGACGAAATGTCATTCTGAGGTCCTGGTCACATCAATTCACAATTAATTGTCTTTCTTATCAGTAAGACTTTACAATTCTAGCCCTGTAAAAATATTGGTGACTTTCCTTAGACTGACTTCGTTTATCTATACAGTATAATGCTCTCTAAATTAAATTTCAACTGACGCTTTGATTTCAGGATTCGATTAGTTTTGATTCCTGCCACAGGGCCTGTATAGGCTAGTATAGTTTTATTTTAGTTCCTTGTTAGGTAAGTCGGATCACTTTGCGTCCGACGCAAAAACGATACCGGATAGGGCTTCTGTTTACATATGAAATGTTGTTATCGTCTCATTTTCTGCAACGAACCGGTGGTGCGGCGGTTCGCTCTTCGAAGTGGTGCGCGGTGTATCGGATCGGTTTTTGCAACGCTCTCATTGTAATGTAAACACCAATCGGAGCAATTTCGGTTCAATGCGTGACTCAAGATGGAATCTGGCAAACAACAACTTACTATTCTAATAATATATAGAAGAAATACGACGGCATAGATGGGCGGCACGGAAGCTGTTTACACTTGGGCCGTAACTTTTCGCGAATGAAATAAAAACTGATCCGATACAATGTAAACATAGCCTAAATGTCTACAAGTTACATTTGAAATTTTGATCTATCTATATAAATATTTACCAACTGTATATTTTATTATGATTTCAGGATTCTTACCTTCAAAATGTTGAGCTTCACATTAGTTTTCCCTCTCCTATTCTCTTCGGCAATGGCCACTTCCTGTTCCATGGCTAACTGGTGGAGCAGTTTTGACAAAAAAGGATATTCGACCTGCTCATCACAGACCCAATACATCAACGGTTTGTATAGGAACGACAGAAGAGATGATCAAATTTACCTTCTTGAAGAAGTGAGATGTTGTGGACGCACTCAACCATACTATAATCAACCGACACAGTGCATGGCTGCCGACTGGGTCACTAGTTTAGACAAGTAAGACTTATACTTTATTATAGACCGATTCGAAAGATGGTTGTCATTCTTTCATTTCTCCCGAAATTAATTTCAACCGAGGTCCGAGGTAATCACTGCCGCCTTCTAAAATACATCAAGCGGAATATCAGTTTTGCAAAATAAAAATACAATATCATGTAATGTATTGTCTTTGAGAAATTAAGGCTTAAAAGTACTGGAGTTGCTGCTTGATCAAACTTCTACGGGCTCTGCCTTGTGTATTGCATAGAATATAAAATAATGTAAAATAAAATTGTGGTGGCAAGTTTTCGAATCGGACAATAGGACTACAGTGAAAACAAATCCATAAGATATACAGATAAACTACTTTAACTGCTTACTTTCATTTCCTTTTTTGCGGACTCCTAGTTCTGAAACTTAACCAAACTAAACTGACCAAAGGCAGTGTTATAGACGAGACAATTGCTGTTTGCTTCAATTCTTTGTAATTTATGCAGGCCTGCCAAGGCGTGGTGCATAAAATGAGGGAGATTACAATATTTCTGCGTTGACGTAAGCTGACAATAAACATGAGCTCAACAAATCTCGCGGGGACTAAGGGATTGCCGTGAGCACTTCGTTTA